CACCAATCATTTCACCTCCTCAATCTCCAGAACATAACCTCCATCGATCACATGAACCATCTGAACCTTGTGAACCATCAGCAGCACATGAATCCTCTAAAACTCTCAATCCATCAGAAACACCTGAACCTTTTGAACAACCTGACCAAACTGAAACACCTGAACAATCAGAAAATCCTGAACCAGGTGACTTTCTGAAAACTGTAGTTGATTTTGAATCTCTACAATTTCTGAAAAACAAAACCTACAAAAAGAATGTTCCCAAACCTATTCAGCCAGATGTAAATGTATGTTTTCAGAATTTCTTAACAGAAGTACAAACTTGGTTGGACCTGCTGAAGGTAGACTGCACCAGAAATGTGAACCCAACAACAATAGATCTTCTGTGGGAAACATTCAGAAGAACCTTAGATGCTGAGTCACTGAAATTGTAAGACTTATATCATTCTCAGGTGTTTTAGAACTTCTCCAAACATCTGCATGCCTTCCAGTCAAAAGCTGCTGATATTTGGGACAAGAAGTCTTCTCTGATGATTGTTAATGCTTCAGCTGATCAAATGGACATTTCAGAAGATGAGTCTGAAGATGCCTCTGAAGATTCAAATCCTCTGGCAATAGTTCTGTTTAATTAACCTTCTGCTAAAGCTGCACCTGAAACTGTGCCAACTCTTATGCTGGATTTGGGCACTCTACTTTCAACTTTTATTCGTTCTGACTCAACGGTTTCTACTCCAAAGGTTGTATCTGCTGAAGCTTCTTCATCCTCTGCTCCTACTTCACTTGTTATGGATACTCTGAATGAGCTTAAGAGGGAAAATGAAGCTATTCATGAGCGCTTGGACAAGCAAGATCAGACAAACCAGGAAATCAGAAACTGGATTATGAAACAAAAGGAATCTGCATCTGAGATCAAGAATCTTCTTATGGCTCTTGTTTCTAAAAAATCTTAGTGTCATTTTGTTTCTTATTTTTGTTTGTTGTTTTGTACCTCTGAATCTTTTATTAAAACCTTTACGCTCTTCAACTATTTTTATATACTTTTTTATTATGCCAAAAAGGGGGAGAAAGTGAGTATTTTGATCTAATCTCTGATTAACAGTTATGGAACGAAGTCTCAAACATTCTAACAAAATACAAAGATTTCTTTCTATGCTTAAAAGAATTTTGCAAGTATCACTAAACTCTGGAAGTTTAAATCAACTGAACATTATCTTCAAAAGACTTGCTGAAGAAATCCTAAAAGAAAATTTCAAAGCTCTGATGAAAATTCTCAGGAAGTTTTTCTTATAGAAATATTTATTTCAGGGGGAGATTCTTATCTCTTGTTCAATTTTATTTTTAAATCTGAATATTTTTGTCATAATCAAAAAGGGGGAGATTGTTAGAACAAGATTGGTTCTGATCATATCTCAGAGTTTTGATGATAACAATAAAATATATTTTATATAATTGATACTCTGATGAACATATTTATTTGTTTCAGATAATGTTCTGACAGAAGCATTTTGACGTGCTGAGCTGAAAATAAATGAACAAGTTCTTTGATGAAAGAACTATTTGTTTTAGCACAAGTTCTGATGCTGACTCTGATAAGAAACTATTTAATGCATCTTCTAACGCTTAGCAGTTTTCCATGTTTAGAAGTACTTTGAAAGCAAGTACTGTTCAGAAGTAATTTGAAAGCAAGCGCTGATCAGAAGTACTTTGAAAGAAAGCTATGTTCAGAAGGATTCTGCAAGCAAGATGTGAAGCCATGTTCTGAAGCAAGACGTGAAGCTAGTTCTGAAAGAATAAAGAAGCTAACAAGTCTTGTCAAGTTTCAGGAAACATGCTCTGACAAAGTGTCGTTTGCTCATTTAATGCAAAGACGGCTACATGCACTCAAGTGTCTACGCTAGTTCATTGGAAAATGCAATACTGCAAGCAAACACGCAAACATTAATTGCTCTCCACTTTTGAAGGCAGCAACGGTCAATTTTCTTCATGCTATAAATAGAAGATCATTTATTGCAAGCCAACTACTCAACAAATTCAAAACAGCAAGAACTACGTGAAAATATTCTTGGCTCACAAATTATCTTACATACACTTTGTGCAAAACTAATCTTAGTGAAAAATCACAGTTGTGATATCGCTTTCTTAGAAGCAAATTTGTTTCACTATCTGTAAAGATTTAATACTTGTAATTGTTTCTTGAGAGACCAAGTTTGGTCAGATTTCTCAAGAAGGCTAGGACTAGTTTGAGTCTTAGTGGCGTTAATCACTTGTAAGTTTACTTGTGCATTGTTAGTCACAACAGTTGTTGTGTGATTTTAATCAGTTGATTATAGTGAATTAAGTCCTTGTTGAGAAATGCGAAATCACCTTGGCGGGTGGACTGGAGTAGTTTGAGTTCAAACGAACCAGGATAAAAATAACTGTGTCTTTCCATTATTGTTGAGCCTTTAAGAAAAAGAAAAAGAGAAACTTATTCAACCCCCCCCCCCCCCCCTTCTAAGTGTTTTCTCACCCTTCATCGTGATCTTAAAGTTTCTCCGAAATCCCTCCTGGCCGCCGCCATACTCGACGATCGTGTAAGCTTGTTTACCGATATAGCTATAGATCGAAGTTATTCCCCGGGGTTCAGCACCAACCCAATCCAGAGTAGGGTCGCCGGCGGTGTCGACCAGATTCATGCTTTCGGCGGCAATGCTTGTTTCCTCGACATTATTACGCCCCGAGGACTTAGGAATATCGGTCATTTACTTGTAAAGTACAGGAAACCGGTGAATTCGACAGCAAATCCGCTTTTCCGCCACACAGACGGGAGAAGTAAGCAACACTCAGACCGAGTCAACGTTCGTTTGTACGAAAAACGGGGAACACGCAAACCTCGGCCAAACACCGACCTTAACGACAGACGTTTATCAATCATAAATGTCACGAGCATAGCATGAATATCGCGAGCAAAGGATGAATCCCACGACCAAGTTCATAACGTTGCTAGCCAGATACAAGAATACTACGGGGAAAATTAGCCTACATACTAATGAAAGGATGAATCCCCCGACCAAATTCATAAATCTACTAGCCAAACGCATGAACATCACGGGCACGATCGTAAACTGTATGCCTAAACCTATGAATGTCGCGGGCGTAATCGTGAATCAGGCGCCCATAGTGCTTGAATTTCTCGGGCACAATCCCCAGACACGAAATTCTACCTCTAAGCACCATCAAAATATATCTACAACATGAGATATCAAAGAAAAAGAGCACTTACTTGGAAGAAGAGTGAGGAGCGACGGTGGTGGAGATGAACATACGGCAAACAGTGCGGCGGTCTCAGCGACGCTAGGAAAACACACGGTGATTGAAAGCAGAGAAAATATGAGAGCGTGAAGATGTAAAAACAAGCTATGGACCCTGAAGCCCTATTTATAGAGATGACGTGGAATATGAAACATTGCGTCGGGGAACCACAAACCGCCTTCATCCTCGACGCCTACTCGCATAGACAATGATGACTCTACTCCCTAGGGCGGCATTGTGGTTTCCAAGAGTCGCGCCACGTGTCTAACTAGTGCATCACCACCTCCCCGCGAGTGTCCCTCAAACACTCCTCGATTGCTTCACGGGGCAAATCACGAGTCAGGCGACGTCTCACATCCCCGATTAAAACCCCTGTGTCGCGCAAGCGAGTCTCGCGAAAGGGCGAACTTGAATCAAGTCATAACTCCCGTACCAGGAGCAACGACTTAGGGGGTTCCTGTTCTGGACTAGACCTGTCAGTGGCCCAATCACCTGTGAGGCCCAATCCAAGCTTGTCAACATACCGTGTTGAGCAGTATACCCTCCGAGCACACCCCGATCATGGGTATCTGGTCGGCTATGATTGCTTCCCGCCGGTGTCCGCGAGGAATGTTCCCGACGAGCGCACGCTCCCACCGAGCACCCTCCTCGTAGGGCTGACTTTCAATCTCTCCAGATTTCGCAGAGTCTTCATGATTCTGGGAAGATCGCGTCTTTATCCTCCCTGTCCTGCGGAGGACGTCATCCAGATAGGGGGCCACGTGCAGGTCCCCACTACTCACGTAGAACCTGACAGTCTCTTTGTTGGGCCTATTTGATCAGCCCAATAAAGAGACCTTGGCCCAGCCTGAGGACTATAAATACCCTCTATTTCGAGAGGGTCGGGTATTCATTCATCTTTACACCTACATTCATACTTGCTTGCTCATTCCGTCTCTCACTTTGCCATCGGAGTGTCTTGCAGGTACCCCCTTCCCCCCATCTCCTTCAAATCCAGTCTGAAGCCAGTTGTGACGGTCCAACTCTGATCAGGTACGATCAGTGGGCGCTTGCAGGAAGCTGTAAGCGGAGTGTATTCTGTGAACCTCCCCGAGGGTCCCCTTTGTTCTCGGGCGTCCCGGGGTTTATCGTCCCTTCTCTTTTCTCCAGTTCGTCGAGAAGGGGCGATGTCTTGTCGCAGATTACTGCTAGACCCGCAATTTCTGGGGTCTCGGGGCGTATGATCGTGATTGAGATCCTACGCTCGTGGCGTGAACTACCCATCGCGAGCTAGGTGTTCTGCCATGTGGGGTACTTCGACAGTGGAGCTCGATCGAGGTGTCCCTACCGGACATCTACGTTTGGTTCGTCGAACTGAACGATAATATGCCCTCCTTGGTTGGTAGGTCGGGTCCGTACCTCGACTCGCCTACGTGGTCGAGCTTTTCCCTTCGCCGACTGAAGGTGAACATTCGACGGCAAAAGTCCCCCAGCGGGTGAGGGCTTTAGCTATAATATTGTTTTAGCTTCGCAGTATTACTATCCTGCACTTACAGTGGTGTTAACTTACGCAACACAGATAAAATTTATATGGAATTTATCTTTACATTATAATTTAGAAGGATTAATCTGACATAAGCAAAAACCTAAAATTTTAAAATAAATTATTATCTAATATTTAAATACAAAGAAGCTAGGAGAGGCAAATATCTTTGCTCACACTTGAATAATCATAAAACTCTAGTGTTGTAGGAACCACAAGAAATGCATTTATGGTAAAGCCAGTGGAAGGGAGCTGCTCCTTTCTTTTCACAGTCATTACATAAAATAACCTGCAGTTATAGGTTCAATTAGAGTATACATTGGGAAAACAATACAAAATCTGAGGTTTAATATGAGACTGAGAAATAAGAAAAACGGCTGACTAGCCTGGATTTGACCGGAAAACTCGTCAGGCATTTTCTCCTCAGCCAATAGTGCATCTAGCATCCTAAAATAAACCTGCAAGGCATTCTGATAGTTTGAAAGATATGATCTCTTTAAAGATAAATGGTGTACAGATGACAAAAATTAAGATCCAATTTAACAGTCCAGCTATTCAAACAGACAAAATTATTCTTGGGTAGAGTTTAGGGCAAGTTCTATAACATATTAATGGTGTTTTTGTTTTGTAACATCAAAAATATCAAAACTTACGGCATGTTCTATAACATATTAGTGGTGTTTTTGTTTTGCAACATATCATTCACAAAAATATCAAACTTATGGCAAGTTCTATTATCTTTGTAACATACCACTCACATCAATATCAACATAATTTTATTATTTTGAATATTCTTTCTCCCCCCACTACAATTATAAGACAATCCTATAGTGTAACCATTATAATCATCAAACTGCAAGCAAACTTCTAGTAAAATCTTCAGTACATGTAGGCTGTAGCAATGTATATGATGAGACATATACAATCATTACCATGGTAAAATATATTTGCAGCAATATGAAATGAACAATATATTTTAACATAGGACATGTGATGACAAATATTGACTGACCTGCATGTCTCCAAGTGACTTGCTACATATTGGGCAGGTATAGTTAAAACAAGTATATTCCTGAAAGTCCACCACAAATGATTTTAAAGGTATCTTTGTTTTTGCCAAATGATTTTGAGGAAAGAATACAAAGAAGTACCTGAAAACATGTTGAGTGCATCACATGACCACATGGAAGGGCTTTTACCGGAGAGCAGGATGTGAAGATATATTCATGACAAATCGGACAGTTTTCCTCTAAAGATTTTTCTCTGCATGTATGTATCATAAGAGAACGGGACAAACAAGCATTGCAATTCATGCAATGAAAAAAGTCAACACCCAAACCCTTTCCAAGTCGGCATAAGTTACAAAAGGGACAGTGGTAAATTTTCCTGCTAAAAAAACACAAGAGTTTTAGTCATGATAATTTTATAGATGTCATTTAACTAGTTATCATCTCCTTGATAGACTCTAACTATCTCCTTAAATTATGGTATTATTTATACCATAAATAAGACATTAGCGTGTAAGTCTGGGACACAACTTCTCTTACACTTTTGCAAAACTTTATGGGATAAGTATTTACGAATTCCACCAATGGATTGAGAGTAAATAAATAAATATGCTTCTCTAAAATAAAGTCAAAAGTTTGTTTATAAAAAGACCAGTTAAGCTACATTACCTTTCATCTTCAAACAATTTGCAGATCTTGCAGTAATATTTTGCCATGGATAAATTACGGCAAGAAACTGATGAGCATGTGGCATTGATTGGTTGAATCACCAAGCACTTCATACACATCATCATTGTAATAGATTTTCTACATATATTTAGGCATTCCATCAAATATGAATTATGAAAAATTGAACTCCTCAATTCAAAAAATCAAACATAAACAGTGCACACTCTACTCTTACCTATCAATTACATGATCTGATACCTCATCATGGCAATGTATGCAAGCATGAAGTTCATTGCAACAGGGAGCAAAAAGCTTACAGTTCCGCTTGTAGTGTTTGCAGCCATAGATTTGTTTGAGAGGATCCTTGTAAGATGGATGTTTCCCAGGGAATTCCAGCCCATCGCTTTTGATATTGACTTCCATAGAAGAAATCTTCTGACTAATAATCCAACGGCTGAAAATATATGGAAAGCTATGTTAAAAACCTGAAGTCTGTCGCTATCACAGGCTTGGAATAGATGGACGACAGATGCAATATGTCGGGCAGGAATACCGTTTTCTGAAAAAATTGTATGATAATTTCTAGCAAATAAATATCAATGTTTGCAACATCACACTTAAATAAACCAGACATTCATATACAAGACAATACCCCTTTGTAGATAGGAACTGTTCCCTATAACCTTCTAAAATTAATGATAAGGAAAACAAGCAAGATTACATAACCTTCGCGATGATAAATGTAAAAATTAGCTTATTTTACACTGAAAAATACCTGTCAAAACTGTCTACGTCTTGATTATTTTATAAAAATGCAAAATTAAGTTGAATCTAAACATAGCAATTGTATTGTTTACTGTCACTAAAATTGACTAGCAAAACACTTAAGGCAATACTCTTAAATTGTTACTCAGAAATATGAGATAAAAACACAATTGTTAGCAGCCAACTACCCAAGAGCTACGTTGTTAGGTATAAGCACATTATGGTTTGTTATTATATTTATAACAAAAACAGTTAGGAAAATCACAAGACCAACCTCATAAGTAGACTCTGTATTATGTATGACTTTTTCTGAGAATCTAGGGAAGAGTCACGAGACACCCTTCTTATCACCCTCTCCAGATCATCTTGACTCAATTTCAGAAGTCGGTCATAATGCCCAGACTTGTCCAAATCAAAATGTTGAAAAGACTGACTTGCCAAAATGCCCACTGGTTTTACTTCATTGCAGGTATGTTTCTTAATATCATGAAATTGATTTGTGCATTTTGAACATTGACTATAATTTTGTGCTGCATTATGAACCTTAACGTTGTCATCAACATTGGAGTTGGAGAGCGCAGAATTATTGCCAATAAGATCTTTCTGCCAAAAACTTATGCTTTCGTTGGCCGATGATTCTTCTTGTAATTCATTAAGAACTTCCTCAGACAAATATTTGGATATAACTTCTAGTGGTTCAACATTCTGTAGAGGGGCATCATTTGATTCATCTGCTTCCTTAGCTAAACTGTACCCATTCCACCATTCACTTAACCACTCGTCAAACATTGTATTCTTAGTAACCATGGACCATAAGAACATTAAAATATGCTGCTCTTCCTGTGTTAAAGATGCCATCACCCATGGTATCATATCTTGTAATATTTCTGCACTTATTCTTCCAAGCATGCATCCTATGATCTTCCCTTGCTCTCGGTTTGAGAAGAATTCTCTAATTATAGGCCAAAGTTCTATTTCCTCACGGTTTATATGATCAGAAAGTAACTTGTGCATCGATTTGCACATTTCTTGCAGCTTCTTGATTAAACGATCACGCCTTAGCATTCTCTTCTCCCTTATCTTTGAATCAGTAGTAGAAACCAAAGGATGTAATTCAGACATCCTGTCAAGAATGCGAGATATTTTAGCAAAGTGCTCAACTTCATGTTTATGATCGAAGGTGTAGGCAAGGCTAATGTTTTTAAGCTGACCTATTGCCTCCAAGGCAGGAAAAACTATCTCATCCTCCGCATCACTATGGATTTGATGAAGAAAACATATGAGATGGAACCGTTTTTGGAAATCTATAAACTCATCATGTCCCTCTAACTTAGCTGAGCCAAGAACTAGGTAATCCAAGTCTTTCTTAATAGCCTTGTGAAAGAAAAATATCAGGTCAATTGGTTTTGGATCATTAAGAAAGGAAACAGAAGACGAATTTGCTGCATGAAACCTTGGATGCTGGTTTAACTTCATAGCTGTGTCAGGGAAAAATATGTGCAAATTAATTCCTGTGGAGTATGGTGTCTCATACTTGTTCACATTTTTGGATCCAGAAGATGATGAATTGGACAGACAATTCTTGGCACAATTTTTATGTGGCTGCTTGTCAGAACTTAAGAATGAAAACCCACTAGTTTCCTTCATTTTCTCAGATGAAAAAGAGTGTCTTCTTTTGAACATATACTGCAAACCCTGTCGAAACTTCTCAATTGAGGTTTTACCTGAATAACCAATGCGGAACCATTCATGTAACAATGGAGCAAAAGCTTTACTGACAGAATTATTTCCTTCCTTTATGCAATAGAGAATGGACCTGGATTCTTTTTCAGACAAGTGAACTGAGAACCAAGTTATAACACATTTTAGTAACCCAAGTGGCATCATATGCATGCTCAAGCTTAGAAGTCTCACTTGCATTCCATTTCTGCAGTTCTTTCTAAAGATAGGAAACACCTAATAAACAATTAGGGTGTCAAAATGGAAAACATCTAAAATGTTTTCATGTAGCATCCTTTAATAGAAGAAACAAAATTTGTTAATAAATATGGAACTAAGATATAGCCAGAAATTTGATCCTAAAAAGAAAGATATAGCTACTCATAATTTCAAATTTTCTTCAAAAATGGGAGATTTATTCTTTCTCTTATTTCTTGCTCTTCTTTTCACTCAAGAGTGTGAAAAACTTCATTCCATTGAAAGTTTCATAAACTAATGTGTCTGCATAACTGGATACGTTCCTCTACTTAAAGCAATTAAATCTTGATGATACTTTTACTATCAAGAATGGTTTCAAAACCAAAATATGTGGATATTTTATTAAACTGATAAATTAAAAGGTTAAAGACCATTATCATATATTATTAATATGATGTTCTCTTGTTCCCTACTTTTGTGGGTTAAAAAAATGTGATTTACATAGAATACCTCAATTTCTTGAAAAGAAAATTGTTCGTTGACTGCTGATACAAATAATTCAAGTTTTCCGCAAAGCTTCTCTACAAATTTGGTCACAGGCATTTCGCTTTCTGAGTTATAAAGTAGCAACTGTTGTATATCCTCAATGTGACTTTCTCCAAGTAAATATTCAGTAGACTTGGAAAATCGGCCACGGGCCAGTTTGTTCAGTATAGGATGAAAGAATTTTTTCAGAGCATTGCTGTATCAGAAAGTTATATTCAGAAATTGGATAATTGACAAGAACAATAATGAGCATTTTAGATAGAAGATTGGCTTTAAAAAGTTCAGCAAAAACAAATAAAGCAAATTAGTCAGATTTCACACACCAAATAAATTAAGACACTGTCAGAAATATTACCTGTAGAAGATGAGGACATCGGCCAAGAATTTTAGCTGGATAAGTATCGAGTCTAAATTTTGAGAACAGCCGGAATTTCTTATTAGATAAAGCTCTTGCTGGATTTCTTTCAAATCTTTCCTTATGGCATTATGCCAAAGATGGAGAACCTTAACCTGGTTGACCCCATCTTCTGTTTCTTTGTCATACACTTCCATCTCATTTGAAATTTCTTTGTAGTTCCTATTGCAAGAACTCTGCACAAAAGATTTTTCTATATGTTGGAATCCATGAGAACCTTGAAGCTCCTCACTGTGAAAATATGTCCCAGAGAAGGTTTGTTTGTTGCTTCCAAGCCAAGAAACCAAAACCTTCACAATTAGATCTGAATTATTAAAAAGGCGGGGGGATTATATAATATTTTATTCAATATTCAGTAATAAACTTTGGCTAACCTCTTGCAGTGCTCTTTCCATTGGTGCAATTTCATTAAAACACTGAGTAACTTCTGCTTGTTTATCTGCTGAAAGAAAGGATAACATCCATGGCAAAACTTCTTCCAGTAACATTATAGGAACACTACATATGAATTGCCACACAAGCGAGGCTTGTTCTTTAGTAGACAAATTTTGGATCAACAGAGGAAAAACCTGAGGCAGTGGGTAAATTAAATAGTAAGAGTTATTAGAATTAGAGTTCAGTCTAACTCATCTTTACAAAACCAACTTGTAAAATGAGGGGTGTCACTACATAAAATCTTCGCAAGATCTATCTCTAACTAATGTGGTATTTGGGATCTTCCCAATACACTCCCTCATGCCCAGCACTATTGGACTTGGTGCGTGGGTGGTCCATGATCCGATCAATAGGCTTTGATACCATATTAAAATTAGAGTCTGACCTAACTCATCCTTACAAGACCGGCTTGTAAGGTAAAGGGTGTCACTCTATATAAACTCTTTTAAAGCTCTATTAAAGTTCAAGCATCTACAAATACATACTCATGCAAAGATAAACATATTGAAGAATTTCAAAATTAAAGATGTTGGTCAAGTCCTTTCTAAGTATTGCTTGTCTTCTTATTTTACCCCGTCATACATTTCCTTGTTTCCGGAAACAACTTCATGCTTCAGACTCCTTTAACATATAATTGTCATTAACAATGTAGATGCCCGAGCAATTAATTGCAGGAAAACTGTATTTTACACACACATATAATAGAAGGTATGGGAAGCCCCATCGTTAGTCCTAATTTCCATTGGCAAGATCAATTTGCAAGTCAGATTAATGTCGGTTGAACATAGTTTTATCTTGTATCCAAGAGAACAAATGAATGATATTCTATGTCCCTTTCAAAACTTGTGGCAAATCTTACATAATTCAATCACTCTATGTTTGAAGACGTTTATTGCAGTTTATCCATTAGTCAGAAGAATAAAGGGCACGGGATTGTTTCATTTAAGTTATAACAGTAACAATTACCTGTTAATTAGTGAATCCTCTATTGGCTTATATACTTAATACATTCACCAAGTAAATTAATTACATTGTGAGTAAATGCAAATCATCTTATATATTCAAAAGAGTGTTCATGCTAAAACTAATAGAACATCAACTTTAGTAAATTGCAAGCCTTTAGTGACAAAAGATCTTGTGACACACGCATTCCTAACAAGACAGTTGACGCATAACTTCCTATTACAATTGCATTCAGTGCCATGAATAAACTAATTTATATGAAACACACGCGGCGCAAAAATCTCATCTACAAGTGAACAAATGTGTTTAAACTGTATAAAGTGAAACGTGTATTTATCGCAATAAGTTCAAATAAATGAAACTAAACCAAGAAAAGGCATAACCAGAAAGAGTAAATAACCACAGGAACGCAAAAAAATAGACGTAACTAACTGGGTAATTTTTCATGAACGCAAAAATAGAAAACATTTACCTGCTCTTCTTCTTTCAACATATGTTGGTAGATGGAGGTTTGCAAGATATCAATGCAGTAGACAAGTTCTCGGAACAGGTTGGAAATATTGTGACTAGAGCCCATAAGCTCATCCAAGAAGTGTAAGATAGAAACAAACAGGCCATCGGCGCTGTTGTGTTCAAGGGAATATGTACATACAACATTTTTGACATGCGCATCGAGAGCATGGAAGATAATCTGGCAAAAATAATTTCAAAATTACATTCTGAATTCTAAACCTTACGCAAAGCAACATAAAATTACGCTAACTGACCTCATCTTCTGCAGCGCAATGATACTTAAGAGCTAACCTAACAAACTGAAACCTCTGTTGAAGCGTCACGATTATTTCTCGGCACCTCTCCGGATCATCTTCCAACGACGCCGTTTCGGAAAACACGCGAAGCTGATCGAGTTCAGAACGCAGAGCTTTATGAAAACAAACGAAGAAAAGTATAGGAGCATCGAGAATTCGAAATTGCGACAAAATGTCAGGTGAAGCGTTGACCTTGACACCGTTGTCCTCCTCCTCCGCCTCCGCCTCCGCCTCCTCTTCCTCCATGTCCGAAAAATAAAGATCACCGCCTCCCATCGAAAAAACCGGCAGTAACAACCATCAACGGCGAGAGAGAGAAAAGGGAAGTTGTGAGTGGAGAGAAGCATTAGATTTATCTATCTCTGAACTGGCTTGGTAGCTTCGGTTTTGTAATTGTTTATTAATTAAAAGAATAAAAGAATAAAGATTAAAGAAATGGAGAAATGAAAGAGACGTTGTAACCAACGGTGAAGGATTGTTTGTTAGCTTTTGGCGGTTTCAGATGATTTGATTTTGATTTTGAGAAAGAGGCATGAAGCGCCCCTGTTGTGTGATTTAACTAATCAGACCGTGGAGACCACGCGCTTGTTGATTAATGTGTTTGCGCGCTGGGATTTTTTTTTATATTTGAATAATGGGAATTGAGAAGAAAGGGGTAGATTTCGGTTTTCCTTTTTTTATGTGGCTTTGTCGGGTAGATGCGGGGCCGTGGGTGGGTCAGTGTAATGGTCATGGCTAAGTTCATGCTTTTTACGGGGAGGATGTGTGTGACTTTTTCTATGCTGGCCGGCGAACGTTGTTTTGTCCATGTTAGTTAATTACTTTAACTCTAGAGAGTTCTTTTTCATGCTGCTACTAGTATTAACCGTCCTCAGTGTCATAAAATGATACTCTATTAAAAATTCATACGAATGTGACTTTTGAATTCTAAATTGTTCATGGTGTTCAATCTAGTATTTTTAAATCTAGTTCGACTTAGTCGATTGGACTGATAGACTTTGAATTAGAGTGAAGGACGCGTTATAAATGTCAAAAGATCAAAAATGCAATTGATCAGTGTGATTTTGTTTTATTTGACACACTAATCGGTCGATGGATATGTTTGAATCGGCTCGTTGCATTTTTTTAATAATACATTTTTCAGTCATTGTGATATTTTATTAAGCTCCCAACAATCCACTTTGGATCAAATGAAAACAGTTTTAACCGTCTACCATATATAAGCGTTGACACATGTCATAACAAGTACGGTTTCATTATCATTCTTGAAAGTTATTTCACTAACTGGAGCGGTGAAGTGTTAATATTACAGGTCCACTCCTCTCTACTGCGTCGGATATTAATGTCACTATACTGGAAGGACTTTCGTCCTTTATTTGACCAATCTCTTATTCCAAGGTCAAAATAGTGGTGTCGTCTGTGGAAATCAATTTATGATTTTTGCAAATTCCCCTGAAAATCCCCTATCGCTTAACCACTGCATCAAATATCTTCTTTGTGCCATCCTCAAGGAGGGGACATGCGAGGCATCAAAATAAATAAATAAAACTAATCGACAAAAAAATATACTCTCTAAACGCATCATTGACAATCACTATGGGACTTAATCCCCCGAAAAAACCTCTAAAGCTTGATAGTTACTACAGGACCAAAGATCCGGAAAAACATATCAAACACGTGGACATTAAGCTTGATTACCACTATGCTAAGAGTGCGGCAAAAAGAAAATTGTTTGTCTTGACCTTTAAAAGGGAAGCCATGACATGCTTCAAAACTTTGCCTGATGGAAAGGAGCTTTGTGAGTCTTTTACGGCTCAGTTTACAACCCATAAATAGCAGCCTAAAATTATAGTTGACCTCATCAAAATTTAACAAAAGAAAAAAGAAAATGTACGGGAATACATTAACTGATTTACTGAGGTAGCTATCAAAGTAAGTGGATCAAATGATTGGTTGAAATGTTGGATATTTGAAAAAGTAAGTGGATCAGATCGTGAATCAGAGAGAATGACGCACTAAAAATGTCAAAAAAATCATAATCAATGTGATCTTGTTTTATTTGACAAACTAGTCGGTCAATGGATATGCTTGAATCGTCTGGTTGCATTTTTTTAATAACACATTTTGAAAAAAGTGAAAAAATTTGAAATTAAAATAGTATCTTATCCTCTTCTTTCAACTTGTTTTGGATCAGCCAAAGGCCCAATAAAATAATCCCAATAACAAGGGTCCAATCCAAAGCATCACCACAGAAGACCGACGAATAAGTGGAACCTCGCCAAAGAGTTGGGCACTTGATTAACCCAGCATCAATCATTTCTATATTTGATCAAGCTCCCAACAATCCATTTTGGATCAAACGGAGGCAGTTTTAACCGTATACCATGTATAAGCGTTGTCATGTGTCATAGTAAGTACGATCTTATTCTCATTCTTAGAAGTTACTTCACTATTATCCCACTGACTTGAGCGTTGGAGTGCTAACATTGCAGGTCCACCCCACTCTACCGCATTAGAGATTAATGTTATTGTACTAGAAGGACTTTCGCTCTTTATTTGACCAATCTCTTGTTTCACGATCAGAATAGTGGTGTCGTCTATGAGAATCAATTAATGACTTTTGTAAATTCCCCCGAAAATCCCTTATCCTTAACCATTGCATCAAAATGGATGATCTTTCTTCTGTTCTAATCTTTGATCAACTCTATACCAATTATACTAGCATATAAGTCTAAGAAGAACATCGCCCAACATAACGCCAGTGACATTGTTGAAATAACGCTTAATGCTCTTGATCCTGAAAGAGAAGCCTCGCATCTTACGGCAAAAGGAGGTGCTCACATCCTCGTGACTTCTACCACTATTTGAACTTATCAAGATCTCCCTCCTCTATATACGATCCATAGTATGTTCCATGTCTTGTTAATCTTCCAATCTCTCCAACACTTACTTCAAAGTCAAACTTCCAAAAAGTCGTAACCACAACTGCATGTCCCTAGATCAGATATGCTTCATAGCCTCCAACAACTCCAAGCCAATCTAGGCATGCAAGGGGTGAATGAACTACTGTTTACCGTGGGAATTGGTAAACAACCGCTGATCTTCCAAATGGTTACTTATTTGGTGACTCGCAGGATCGATCAGATTGATCCTAAGACATGGTTGATTTTGGGGTTTTGACTAAGTTTGACAATGGTTAAATGACAAGAAAATAAAGAAGCTTTATGTAAATTGCATGAAGAAGAGAACTTGATAAAATAAAGGAAGGCTTGAAATAAAGGCTTTCGACTGGAAAAGTAAAGGAGAAAGCAAGTAAAGTTTCTGGAATATAAATGACTTTGATTAATAAAGTGGTGTTTCACACATACATTCTCAACAATTCTTTCTCACACGCTGGGTACTCGAATCTATATGAGTGACTTGTATATAATTGTGAACACACGCGAAAAACTGCGTGAACTACTAATATTTATATTAAACATCCCAAGTAACTGTCGGGCAGTTACACTGCTTCGAGATGACTCCACTTGGCACGTTCTCAACGTTCGACGCTCTAGATCTTTGCACGTTGCACTTGGTAACCGCTGGGAACCGTTTTCCCTCCAAACGCTTGAATTTCAAACCATCCCACTCTGAGCAATCGAACACCTTCGTCGAGAGGCATCTTCGACGTCGAAGGCAACCAAATTCTCCCTTGGAAGAAATCCTCTAAGTACATTGCCATCTTCTGATGGGCATTTCGACAGACCCAGCTGGTCGAAAACATCCTTCAGCTTTAATGGCTGATATTAATAAAAACAAGGGTGTTGAATTTAGGAGCCAACAAATTGCCCCCCAAGAATGCCTTATTTCGACTCTGAAAAGAAAAAGGCATTCTTTGAAACTCCATTCGACACATGTCTTTTCATTCTTAGTCACAAATTAAATTGTGCACTTTTTTGTCTTCTACCAACCACTGACAATCCCGAGGAAAAGCCATCATTTCATCTGTACCTAAGACGTCACCTCAGTACGGCGTGCAGCGTGCCAAATGTCTTTTTCACAAATTGTCATCATGAAAATTCCCAAAAACGAGGGCGCACGCTGCACCCTTTCATTTCTGCAGAACGGCTATGTCAACAGGGGGACGCCACGTGTCCCACTATCTTCTGCAACATTAAATGACATTAAATGGCCTCGAATTTGGGGATTTCCCAACTACTATAAATAGCGCCAAGTACCCATTGTGGGACTTTTTCACGCTACCTTGCCTTCAAACTTCCTTATTGAATACAAACTCTCTGCAAACTTTGCAAACAACTTGTTCTTCACTTCATCTTCAACCTTAACATCAACAATGGCGTCCGGTTCTTCCATCGCTCCTAGTTCTAACATCCCCTCCGGAAATGATAAACCCAAGATTTTCTCCACTGCTCCCGTAGTTACTCCCACAGGCCAACGAAGGGTCCCTGAGCCCCTATACATTGCTGAACGTGACGCTTATTCACGCCAACTCATGATTCCGGTTGGATACTCCAACCAAATCTTCGCCATGTCTGGCCCGCTCAACCCAAGCATCGCTGAAGCCATGAAGATCAAAAGCTTCTTTCCAGTGCTCGAAAAGCTCAAACCTGTTGGATGCTCTAAGAAAGATGCAGAGGATAACGAAGATCCCGCTAAGGAGAAAATCGATCTTCGCTTCTTCAATAGGGGTGTTAGGGCTTTCAGGTCTAGCCCTAGCCTCACTCCTGACTATAGTGCTTGGCTGGAAAAAATGGAGAAAAGCCAGGCTTCGATCTGGAAAGACCTGGGGATATTCGACCTAGTTATGTTGTCGAAGACGGGTCTCAACTACTCCCCAGAAATGTTGATAGCTTCCTTACTCTTCTGGGATTACACTCATTTCACCTTCCATCTTCCCTGTGGAATGCTGACACCCACGCTGTTCGACGTGGCTGCCATCACTGGCCTTCGACCTACTGGGGATTATTTCGACCCAGAAGAAATGTCGGAGGATCAGATTGGATTCTCTGCCACAAAACCAACCTACACCACCTATATCAACCATTACCACGATAAGTCGACGGCCACTGTGTCTGATGTAGAGCATATCGCGTTTCTAGCCTTATGGTTGTCACGCTTTGTGTTTTGCACCAAGTCTTTACAGGTGACCAAGAAGATGGTCACCCTCGCCACCCAACTCCACCATGGCCAAAATATCTGTTTGGCAGAATTGATCTTGGCGAATCTGTACGAGTCGATTAGCAGCGGAGCGACTCTTTTGAAGATCATCGAGA